TGTGAATTGCATTCAGTTGAGCTGGATTGTTGGAACTAGATCCAGTGTCTTTAGGGTTTGCAACAGGTTGACTTGGAAATTTTCCTTTTTCTCTTTCACTCACGGCAGCGGCTAGTTGCCCAAGTTGGGTTTCTAACCGGGCTATGGCTTGTGTGTTCGAGTTGAGCACTTGGCCGGTGGTTTGCATGAATGAATTTAGAGTGGTGGATGATTGGGTCAACATGTTGGTAGTTTGTGTAGAAGCTTTGATCATAGCTTCTAAACCCTTTTCTAAGACACTCAAACGTTTGTCATGATCGGAATTTGTAGGCTGTTGAGGATGAGGATGTTGGTTTGGAAAAGGTGGGTTAGAAAAATTGTTCGGTGCATTGAATGGGATAGTGTTTCCCCTAGGGAATTGTTGGTTCGACGCGGGAATGAAGTTTTGGTTTCCATGAGAATTTCCTTGGTTCCAAGCAAAATTAGGATGATTTCTCCAGCCTGGATTGTAGGTTGGAGAAAATGGATCATTTCTAGGGCGCTAAAATGTAGTGTTCATCTGTTCTAAAGCATGGTTGTTTCCTAAAAGAGGTCATTCCTCTGAAACGTGGGTAGGAGACTGACAGTTATGACATCCCGGGGCAGAAATATGATTGATTTGAGCCGGAGCTCGTTCCTTAACTTCTAAGGCTTCTAACCTCCGCAGAATCGTCGCCATCTTCGCTTCAGACGCAATGTTTGACTCCAGGGAAAGACCACTAGACTTAGATTAGGAAACAGATGAAACCCTGTCATCATAATTTTCCCACTGCATTGTTTTCTCGAATATACTCTCTAGGAATTCCCAAGCTTCATCGGCGTTTTTTCTCATAAAATATCCCTGACACATCGATTCTAAAGATTTTTTTGAAGAATAGTACAATCCTTCATATATGACTTGGCACAGTCGCCATTTTTCTAGACCGTGATGAGGACATTGGATTAAAAGATCTTTAAATTGGTCAAAGTATTTCCAGAATGGCTCTCCCAGGACAATTTTGAAATTCTGAATGTTGTTCCTAAGCTTTACCGTTTTATGAATAGGGAAAAATTTCTTGAGAAAAACGGTGACAAATTCCTCCCAAGTTGAGATGGAATTTATCGGTAAGCTGTACAGCCATTTTTTAGCTTTGTCCTTAAGGGCAAATGGAATAAATCTAAGCTTAATCGCATCTTCAGTTAATTCCCTCATTTTAATCATAATACATACTTCCTCAAATTCCGAGATAAATATATATGCATCTTCAGTTTCATTACCTAGGAATTTGGGAAGCATGTTTATGAAATGCGGTCTAAGCTCGAAATTTGCTCCATTTACTTCGGGGAGTCTTATGCAAGATGGAATTGCATTTCTAATGGGGTAACACATATCCTGAAGAACTGGTTGATTTTCCATTTCTTGGATTGGCTCAACACGGATTAAGCGATGAAAATTATCCCGAACCCAAATTTGCATACACCAAAACAAATTTTTTTTTTTAAAGAAAGAAAGAAAATTAGTTTTTTTTAAAGAAAAGAAAAAAAATTAGTTTTTTTTATATGAGAAGATAAAGAAAAAGAAAAATCCTAACTAAAACAAATCAAGGCAATCACTTTTCAATCAACTCTAATTCTAGGGTTTAGCCTAACTCCACTAGACCAGCTCCTAACCAAAAATTCCTACAGTGAAAAGATCAAAGTTTTACCCAGGTAGTTAGCTAGGTAAGGATAGTACTAGAGGGTGATCAAAGATCAATTAAGTACCTCTTTCCTTGCGGAGCGCTTTACGCAACCCCTAAACCTTGCCTTAGACACCAACTATTCTGAGAAAACTTAAACCGTTCACTTAAGGATTTCTTGTTCCTTATTGAGCTCGAATCCTTAGGGGCCAACGTCTAATGAGTTTTAGAAGGCTTGGGTTTGTGAAGTGAGGAATTAGTGATTTGTGGGCTAAGGAAAGGGTGATGAAATCCCTTACCTTATCTTGATTGGGGTTTTGCCCTTAAGAATGTTTTAAGTGTGTGCCAAATCAAGTGCTACAATCACTTTGGTGAATTCCTACACTATATGAAATGCAACCCTAGAAATTAAAAGCGACTAAAAAGGATGATAAAAAGAAAATCTTTATATTTTTTAATTATGGTCAACAACAATCAAATGTGAGAAGATGACTCATGTTTGAATTTATTATCTTGTTAGTTAATGTCCAAGTGAAAGATGAATTTTATTATGGTCAACAAAAATAAAATCTTTTTTTTTAAATCCTAATTGTCTCTAATTGTAAAGCTAGCTAAATAGGGTGGAATTAAAAACTAGAAAGAAGACTTACCCGAAAGCAATGCTCCAAATTCTTGATCTTCAATCCAAGATTTTCAAGCTCCAAGCGGTTCCTTCACAAGAAAAATACACAAGTTAAAGAATCAAGTTAATAAAATCCTATTTTAGCACCTTCCCTGGCAACGGCGCCAAAAACTTGATGTGGCATAATTATGTACCAAAATTACAAGTGCACAATTTATCAAGTTATAGTATAAAAAAATCGATCCCACGAGGAAGGTGATTTTAAGAGATTATTAGAAATGGTTCTTATGTTTTGTGCGTGACAATTAGGAATAAAGAATAAGTGTGATTGTGATGAGTGATTGTTGTGAATATATGCAAAAAATAATAAATTGAATTTTAGAGAAGAAAGAAAAGAATCAAAGAATAAATGAAATCACAAGATGAAAAGAAAATTTAAAAAAGTCAAGATGGAGGATTCAAAAGAGGTAAGAAATCTAGAATATAATCCACTAACCAATTTCAATTACAAAATATAAACTATTCTCTTTTTATCATATTTCAACTTAGATTTATTAAGCATAGATTATCAAACCATTTAAAAAAAGTGTAACCTATCAATTTATCATCTAAGTTAAAATTACTATTCATGATAAGAACAACAACATGATAATAATCCTAGAATTCATAAGCATAACCTATCAAACCATTTAAGATAAGCATAGATTATCAAATTCTTCTTCTACCGATTAGTTCTCTAGTTGATTATCCTAAACATGAACATTTTAAGTGCAAGAGAATAATTCATACAATATAAAGGAAATTAGACTAGTTTCATATAATTCTAAACTTCCTACAAGAATTAAATTCACATCTTTAAGAAATAAAAACAAGAAAAAGAACTAATTACAAAAATAAAAAGAAAAGAAAAATCTAAACTATGAACAAGAAATAAATCTAACTACAAAGAAAATAAAAATCTAAACTACAAAATAAATTGCAGAAATTAAATGCAAGAAAAATAAATCTAAAAAATATTATTATTAATTGCAACTAAAGTTACAATTTTTGGAAGGTCTTCTCAATTAAGAGTAGCCCTCCTCTCCAAAAGGAGTTTACAAAATTTTCACACTCTTAACCCCTCACTCTCTACCCCTATTTATAGTAATCTTCAATGAATATGAGCCATCGGATTTGTCTTGAGCCCCAAGCAACAATCTCCACCTTTGAATTTGCTTTTTGTTCTTCTCTAGCCTAATCTTAATTTGATTTTCCAAGGCCCAATCTTCATTTGATTTTTCAAATTCTGCAGTAGCCCCTCAAGTCCATTACAAGTTGTAAAGTCCGGCCATGTAGACATGAATAAATGCAGCCCAAGTCCAGCCATGATTCAATGCAAATTTTCAGAAAAGAAAATTAAAAGCCCAAGTCCAATGAGAAAAATCACAGCTGCAAGTGGATCCGGTCCAAGTCTGCATCCAAGTCCACTGGAATTTCCATTTCATTTTCAACACCGAAATTTAAGCTCAGCAAGCATTTGGCCCATCCATGTCCCTTTGCTTTTGAAAATCAAATCCGGCTCCATTTGTTTTCGGCCCATCCAGGTATCCAAGTCCAATGAAGCTTGTGATTAAAATTCAATAGCAGGTCCGGTCATTGAGTCTTGAAACAAATCTGGCCCACAATCAATTCAAGTCCGGTCCGGTCTTCATGTGAATTAATTTCCAGCAGCCAAAGTCCATTTCCCTTGGTGTAATCTTTTTGCTTTGGGCCTTCAAAAAGTCAAAAATTGCAATTAGGCTTCTTGAATCATTTCTTCATTTAATCAATGGGTTTTTGTTGAGAGATGGGAAGTTGAGGTTTATTCTTCATTAATCTGCAATTAAAATATAAAAACAATTATTAGTGATATATTTATTCATATAAAATAGATAATGAGGGTATAAAATTGTAATAAAATGTGATTATCAGGAGGAGAAATACAACGGGTTACAACTCACAAAATCACTCAAATATAACCCTAACCAAAGCTCTCAACTCCCTCACAATATATCCCTCTCAAAGTGCTCAAAACAATGCTAATTCTCTCATTTTCTCTCCTTTAGAAACCCTTAAAAACGTGGTCCTATTTATAATAAAACACAATCCCAAACAAATGAGGATTCTAAAAACGAGTCTGCCACACCCTGCACCATGGGTGTGGCAGAGGGTGTGGTGCAGGACAGATTCTGTCACACCCTGCACCGTGGGTGTGACAGAGGGTGTGGTGCAGGACAGATTCTATCACACCCATGGCAGACACCACACCAGGGTGTGGTGGAGTCTGTTTTGAGTTATTCTTCACGTTTTTCACAATTCCTTCGCCGTTTTCACAGTCACCGATCTATTGGTCCCATATTTTGGGTGCTTGAGGAATTTTTCAAGGAGAGCACTATGATATTTCGAGAATTTTCAACAACAACAACAACAACGTCACCATCCATGTTAAACCCACTGAAACGTGACAAAAACAAGCAAACAAGATTACGCAGTCTTCTCTAAAATATTTTCGCTTCTCCGATTTGATATCTAACGCACACAAATGCTGACCTTACTCAAAAAAAAGTTTCCGTCGTCCTATATCAACACACTACACGTCTCCTGCCGAAAACCTATAACTGCTCCGCCATCGTATCTCAATTAGTAATGCACCCTAAAAACAAGAACAATAACAAGAACGAGAAATGGCTCTCACTTCTTCTCTCCTCCCCCTCCTCCCCCTCCTCCTCCTAACGCTCTCCTCCTCCGCCGTCGCCGGAAAATGCAATAAAGACGACAAGGAGGCCCTCGTCGCGATCACGCCCCTCATTCGCTTCCCGACTACCAATTCGCGTTTGCGGGTGGACGAAACGACTCGCTTGCTGCCGACTGGTACGGCGTTCGACTGCGACGGCCTTTCACTCTCCGTCTGTGGTCTGGCCTCAGCCGTGTTCGCTGATGACGCACTCACACGGCACCCTCCCGCTCCGCAATCGGCCGACCTCCCCTTCTCCCAAACCCTCGTCTATCACAAGCTCCCCAGGCCATCGTCAGGCCGGCATCCCCGCCTCTTTTCACAAAGCGTCAAGAAGCTCTCACCTCCTCTTCCTCAGCTGGAAACTCTCTCTTCGGCCGGTTCCGTCCTTCCCTCCCAAATCCAATCTCTCACCGACCTTGCTGACCTCTCCTTCAACAAGGTTTATCGGCGTCGAATCCCCCCTCGCTGTCCACACCTCCCAACCCCTGGCCCTCGCACCTCGACCACCTCCGAACGCAACATTGCTCAGCCGGGACCATCCCAGAAGAATTCGGAAGCGTCCACGAACAGACTCGCCGCCGGACCTGTACTTGTCCCACAACAGCCTCTCTGGTCCGATCCCCGCCTCGCTCGGCGCACCGAAGTGGGGGGTAATCGACCTGTCGAGGAATGAGCTCACCGGCGACGCGTCGGTGCTGTTCGGAGCGGCGAAGCCGACCACGCAGATCGACATATCAAGGAACCGTTTCGGGTTCGACTTGACCGGAGTGACTTTCCCGGTGAACTCGACGGCGTTGGATATGAACCATAACATGATATACGGTGAGATTCCGGCGCAGATTAACGCGGTGGGTGGGCTCGTGCTGTTCAACGTGAGCTACAACAGGCTGTGTGGGGAAATACCCAGTGGGAGCGTGACGGCGAAGTTCGATGAGTTCTCTTACCTGCATAACAAGTGCTTGTGTGGAGCTCCCTTGCCCGCGTGCAAGTCAGACTGAGGGCCGGGTGTTTAACGTTAAACCGCCGCATTTTAAGTCATAATTATTAGTGGCTTTGTACGTACGAAGAATAAGTGGCTACCTACAATATTTGTATGCTTGATTAGCCATATTATTAGTGGCTTTGTACGTACGAAGAATAAGTGGCTACCTACAATATTTGTATGCTTGATTAGCCATAATCATTTGCTAAATAATAAACTGTTTTTGCTGTAAAACATTGAGGACTGAAAAGCCTTAAAACTTAGCTTGTGGGTGTGACATGTGAATTTTAGCTAAATATTCTCAATTTTGCATTGTGCACTAAGAAGATAACGAAAGTGCTAATTTCAGAAATTTCAAGGGCGGGCTCGAGCGAAGGTATATAAGTGCAAACTAGTACAACTTATAATGTAGGGCTCTCGTAAACATTACTTTGTCAAATCTGCAACTATTTCATACTAGTTCCTTAATCTCTCAAATCGGAAAGTGTAATGAACGATAAATTTTTAATACGGGTTTAAATAATTTTTCTGGTATTTAAATATTAAAATTTATTTTTAAAAGAGTATTCGTATTTTTCCCGATTTAATTTCTAGAATTTTCTATGATTTAAAGTCCAAAATTTATATTTATTTTAATGGTTTTGATAATTATAAAGTTAGTTGTTACGGTGAAAACTTTTTAAACTAATATTTTGTTATTTATTATTGCTATTATTATTATTTGTATTATTAATTATTTTGTATTAATATTTTTAGTTTGCACCCCTTATCCCCTACCGCAATTTGTAGCTGTCACGTGATCAGCACGACAGTCAATTTGTTATTGATTTTTTCCATGTATTTTCCTCTCCAATCAATCTCTCTCTCCCCTACCCCACGCCCTTAAAACCCTCCTCAAAACCTGCTCCCTCTCACATCGTGTCCCCTCTCCCTCTCTCTCCTCTATTATTTCCTCAGGGGCTGTTCATTTCGCTAAAAAATTTGGGAAATCAAAGAATAGGAAACTTATTTCCTGTAATAATTGTTTTGAGGTTGTTTGGTTGGTTTAAAAAAGAAGGAAATTATAGAATAGGAGATGAGATGAGATGAGTTGTCACCTTATTATCGGATGATGTGAGTGATTTCAAAAAAAATTTGTTTTGATGTTGTTTGGTTGGTTAAAAAAATAAGGAAATGAATTGGAGGTATATTATTGGATGATGTTTTGAGGTTGCTTGTGTTTGGTTCATTTTTTAAAATAAGAAAATAGATGAGATGAGATGAGTTGGAGGTATATTATTGGATGATGTGACACATACTTAGGAAATCAATTTCTTGTTTTTTTTTAGGAAATGGATGGAAAGGAATGTTTAATGAGATGAGATGAGTTGTCACAATATTATTGGATGATGTGTGTTATTTTTAAAAATGAGATAAGATGAGATGTGATGAGTTGGATGATGTGACATATTTCTTGTGTTTGGTTTATTTTTAAAGGTAAGAAAGGAGATGAAATGAGATGAGTTGGAGGATAAAAATAATATTTTATTGGATGTTATGGGTGAGTTTTAGGGATGGAAATGGATAAAAATATTATTTTATTGATTTCCTTGTACCGATTTCCTTTTCTTTGATTTTAGGAAGCCAACCAAACGGGCCCTCAGCATCTTGTTTTCGTCAAAAATTGCTTTCATTGATAATTCTATTGAACTTCGATCGTTTACAACGAATTACAATGAAAAAATGATAAAATTACAACTTTTGAGAAAATAACACAGAAGTCGTTTATCGAATCCTGTTTTTGTGGGACTTTGCCTGTGCCGGGAACGCTTTGGTTCGTGGACCGCCGAATCATAGATCGTGAAGGGGGTTTACTGATTATGACTTCGTTTATCGAAGTGAGAACTTGAAACGATATCTTATCAAAGTAAGATAGTTATTCTTCTTAAAATCAAGTCAAAGCTCAATTTCAAGAAGTTACACGAAAACTTAAATCTGCTCTCTCTGCTCTGGATTGCTCGAAAATATGCTCGATCCTCGTCAGAAGTGACCCTAGGGGGGTATTTATAGCCTCAAGGGTCTGTCTCGGCCGTCGAGACAGTGTTTGCTGTCTCGACGGGCGAGACAGTATTTGCTGTCTCGGCCCGCGAGACAGTAAACGTTGTCTCGAAAATAGTAACCGTCAGGCAGTTTTCGTTTTAACTGTCTTCCCACGTTTCAAACTCCGTTATTTTGATAGTTATCCATGTGATTTTCGCCCATGATGTTTTCCACGTCCTTTGGCAGTTAATGGACACGTGTAGGGCAGTTACAAAGACGGTTTTGACCATTTCAACACTGTCTCGCTGGCGAGACAGTAAATACTATCTCGCTGCGAGACAGCAAACACTGTCTCACTGCGAGACAGCAAAGACTGTCTCGCTGGCGAGACAATAAAGACTGTCTCGCTGCGAGACAGTAAACTCTGTCTCGCTGGCGAGACAGTAAACACTGTCCCGCTGGCGAGACAGTTCATATCTGTCATTTTTGAGTAATTTTTTCTATGTTCGGATATCTATTGGCATTTTTTGACGCCTACAGATACCCCCTCCAAAGTATTCCAGACTCATTCTTTTATAGAAGAGCATGGGATACTTTGGATAAGATAGATTTTACTTACGATCCCTTCAATGCTTGGTTGAGTAGATCATGTAGAAGAATCTGTAAAATGGCTTCGACTCTTGATCTCTTCATCCATTAGTCTATTCAGTTCTTTGTAGAATAGCTAATACTTCTCCGGCACTGCGTTTATCACTCGATCATTGTTGAGATCTTGAATTGAAGTTGGTATTTCCAGATTGATGCTCGTTTGTCTCTCGAAAGTTCTTCAGGTTATCCTTAAGAATATTCAGATTAATATTCTCCAGAAACTTCCTGTTGAGGGTAGGAATACAGTTTAGACTCGTGTACCCATTGGAGTATCCCTCTGTATCGCATTTGGGCTTTTTGACTAAGCAAATATCCAATGTCTCCTGCTGTGAGGTACTGTTTGTTGTCTCATAGTGCGAGACAGAAGGGTTTGCTGTCTCGCTCAGCGAGACAGAGTTCTCTGTCTCACAGTGCGAGACAGATTTTTCTATCTCGCTCAGCGAGACAGAGTTTTCTGTCTCACTCAGCGAGACAGAGTTTCCTGTCTCGCTCAGCGAGACAGCGTTTCCTGTCTCGCTCAGCGAGACAGAGTTTTCTGTCTCGCGCTGCGAGACAGTCAGTATATAAGTCAGACTTAGGGTTTTTTGATCTTTTCACGTCGGGTTTGGGGCGATTTCTGGCGATTCTCCGATGATTTTCCGACTTTTTTCTGCATGTTCTCGGCTTCCCTTTGCTCTCTTTGTTTCTGATTTGAGTGGGGTTGTTGTTTGGGGGAGACTTTACTCGGATTTTGAAGGTTTGTTCACTCTCTTTCTTTAAAAATCTCAACTTTCCTTGACTGTGACTTTGCATGCAATGTTTCTGGCGCATATTGTGATGTATTTGAGTGTTATCCTTGTTGATTTTGAGCCCGAAACCCTAATTTTCTTATTGGGTTTCAATGTAGTTTGTGCACTCATCATGTCGCCGCGTCGATCCAGAGGTTCCCGAGGCCGTTCGACTGCTCAGTCCCCTGAAGAGGCTGCTCCTGTTGCCGCTTCGCATGGGGGTACGTTTCTTTCACCCTTTCACGAATTTAAATACTGTATTTCGTCAATTTCATATATATGTACCTGTATTTGCATACAGATCCTCGTTTGTATCCTTTGAGATACCCTCGAGAAGAGCCGGTATCCTCCTTTGAGGGGATCGACGCTTAAAAGTGTTTGTTTTGCTTGGACAAAACACACTTCATAATACACAGGGGCGATTTCATATCATCCCACGTGTGTTGAAAGGTTTCGATATGCCGTTATAATGCCCCTGCATAGTAACGCATATCTCCTTTATACATGTGGTAGATGGAAAATCATCACACCTGTTGTGATATAGCGACTATATCTTATGAAGTAATATATACTGTTTTCTCTAAAATTTTAGGACTATACTTACACAGCTTATGTGTATCTCCTGTATCAGTCCATTTTCCTTCCACAATCTTCACCGTCGATGCAGTCACGGGCCAGAGTAGTGCCACTCACTCTTATTATGAGGGGTTACCATTAATCGAGTCCGCTCCCCAGTTCAAGTCAGATTACAGTGAAGGGGCCCGAGAGTTGATTCAGCGAGGGAGTTGTCGTATCCTACGACGGTTAATCACGGACGCAACCTTAATTTCAGAGCAGGACTCAAACCAATGTATAAGAAAACCAGACTTCTTATTTGGTGACTCCATAAAGGATCCGGCGATTGCTTTCTGCAAGCCTGCGCAGTGGTTACACGAGGATGGTTCGTCATTTCTGTACTTGCCTTTTATCCCTCGAGAGCACTCACTGTTAAAGTTCAGGAACTTATCGGTTAGCCGTGAAATGCTCTGGAGATTAACTGAAAATCACGAGCGCATTCATTGCGGTTTCATTGGGAAAGAGGCTACTCCAAGTTCCAGTGAAAGAGCTTCTATGCGGGGACTTCATCCAAGCATCTTAGGTCAAGATAATATTCCACAGAATGAAAAGACAGCACAGGCAAACACCGTGAAGAATCGTTTAGCTGCAATGAAGAAGAAATTACCCCACGAGAGCTTCAGATGTTATGGATGGGTCCATTATTCTGGGGACAAATGGTGGTGGACCAGAATGACTCGATATGTGTTGAACCGTTGGGGGCGAGAGTTAGCAGAATTAGGGTTGGAAGTCCCGATCCGTGCCAGCATGCATGGTCTGCAAATTAGTGTAGGTCATTTCCTCCGTTTGTTCGAAATTTACAATCCTGACACTAATACGTTCTTCACCAAGAACGGGGAGCTCGGGTTACCATTGCACGAAATGATGAAGGTGTCTGGCTTGCCCATAGACGATGTTCCATATCAAGAGTTCTTCCCAACCACCAGTCAGCTTAATAAGATGAAGGATAGGTCATCTGTGACCCACG